AGCCATCCCCTTTCACCTGCCTGACGCCTGCAGCAAGGAGTTCCACAGGTTGACTCTTTGCTTTGTGAAGAACAACTTTCTGTTACTAGTTTGAAGCCTGCTACCCATTCCTTTCCTTTGGTGTCCTCTAGTCCTTCTTTATGGGAACTAATGAAGAACTTTTCTGTATGCACCCTCTCCATCCCACTCCTGCTTTTAGAGACCTCTATCCTGTCCCCCCTCCGTCTCCTCTTTTCTAAGCTGAAAAGTCCCAGTCTCTTTAGCCTCTCTTCATATGGGACCTGTTCCCAACCCCTGATCATTTTAGTTGCCCTCCCCTCTCCACGCTCTAAGTCCTCCTCTGATGCCCTGCCGGCACTGCTTCCGGCCATCCTTAAGCCCGGTTCAGGGTCCACGTAATGTGGACATGCTAGTTCGAATTAGCAAAACGCTAATTCGAACTAGTTTTTTAGTCTGGATCCGTTAGTTCGAATTAGCTTAGTTTGAATTAACTAATTCGAACTAAGTTAGTTCGAATTAACGTTGTAGTGTAGACATTCCCTTTCACACAGACAGGCATGACTACAAAGATTAAGGCAAGACTACAGAACATGCAGACCCCATTTAAATCAGTTCTGCTGATATTAATAAAATGCAATCTTTACCTGATTTCCACCCATAGGACAGCGCTTCTAGTGAGCAATGACAGTCCAAGAATTTAACTTCTAAAACACATCAACAGAAGACCATTCTACTGACTGCTTTTTTGTTTTGGTTCCCAGCCACAGGCCACGTGTTGAGCCCTGTGTAAACACAAACTGTCCCCCGGGCTGCATGTTTGAGTAGCCCTGCTCTACAGCCTTACCTGTGAGCCAGCTGGCTTTTAGCTCATGCATCAAGGCTCATGCACTGAGCTCCAGAGGTACCAGGTTCGATTCCACAGTACAGTGGCACATAGACGGAGTGATGTGCTAATTCCTTCATTGTAACACCAGCCTAGTGAGCAGTTACCTCCAGGGATGACGGGTGGGGAGGGTAAATCTACTCCTTGGAGGGCATCATTTCAAAGAGGCTTTGTAACCATTAGCTAATAAGCCCCGTCTTACACAGTTATCTGAGCGTAAGTGCATCTCATGAAGTGGGAATTTGCCTCCGGAAGTTCATGTCCAAATAAAATTGGAAGCTTTGGGGGTAGCCGAGTTAGTCTGTGAGGGTATGTCTACACTAGCCCCCTAGTTCAAACTAGGGTGGCTAATGTAGGCATTCGAAGTTGCAAATGAAACCCGGGATTTAAATATCCCGGGCTTCATTTGCATTTTCCCGGGCGCCGCCATTTTTAAAAGCCCCTTAGTCTGAACTCCGTGCCTGCGGCTACACGCGGCACGGAGTAGGTAGTTCGAATTAGGATCTTTAATTAAGTTCCACGAGGAGTAACGGTAGTTCAAATTACAGATCCTAATTCGAACTACTTACTCCATGCCGCGTGTCGCCCCCTGCGTCCCCCTCCTGTTCTGCAATTTGATTTGTCCTTTTCATATTTGTTCATTTTTTTTAATTGTATCCTTTGGTATAAATGGTTGTGACTACTTTCTTCCACTTTTTTTTCTGAGGAAGTGGGTCTGGCCCACGAAAGCTCATCATCTAATAAACCGTCTTGTTAGTCTTTAAAGTGCTACATAGTCCTGCATTTTGCTTCAGCTACACCAGACTAACACGGCTACATCTCTATCAGGATTATTCTAGGAGGGGTGGGTGAGATTCTGTGGCCTGCACTGTGCAGGGGGTCAGACTAGATGATCATAATGGTCCCTTCTGACCTTAAAGTCTATGAGTCTATGAGTAAAAAACGTCCGGGCTTTTGCCCTGCAAAGGGGATCAGGGAGGGGGCAGCGGCACGTGCCCGTCAAATTGAACATTCGGGGCCATGCGCCCGGACTTTAACAGCTGCTCTGCGCACATTACCCAGCGCTGGAAGGAAAAGCGCGTGGTGGCGGCTCCGGTGAGACCCAAGGCAGTTCCAAGTTGGGGGGAAGGGGTTGGGTGGGAAGAAAAAAAACTCACTTCCACAGCTGCCTCTCCTAGTTCGTTTCCTTTCCGGCAGCCTCCCTGGGGTGCTCCAGCGGGGAAGGCGGCTGACCCTGGAGATGTGCATCACCCCCACCCCCACTAGCAGCTCAGTACAAGGCATCCCCATCGCCCCTTCCCCATGGCGCTGAGGAGAGGAGCTAAGAGGCGGTGAAGCAGCACAATAAGCCTTGCTGCAAAGGACCCCCTGCATCAGTGGCGCAGCGGGGGGGGGGGGGGTGGTCCCCGGGCCCCCCCGGAGG